CTTTTCTTTTCATTCTTTTTCTTTCCTTCTTCCTTTATTTTTTTCTTTCTTTCTTTTTTGTCTTCTTGAGGCAGAGTCTCCCTGTAGCCCCAGCTGTCCTGGAACTCACTATGTAGACCAGGCTGGCCTTGGACTCACAGAGATCCACCTGCCTCTGCCTCCTGAGTGCTGGGACTAAAGGCATGCGTCACCACGCCTGGCTCTTTTTTTTTTTTTTTTTTTGAGACAGGGTCTCTTACTCTGTAGCCTAGACTGTCCTTGAACTTACAACAATCTTTCCACCTTAGCCTCCTGAGGACTGGGATTATAGGTAGGAACTACCACCCCTGAAATTACGATCTCATTTCTTCAGCAAATAAACTTCAAACACAAGAAGAAAAAGAAGAAAAGAAAACCAATAAAACAAACAAAGGAAACATAAGTGACAGGGAACTTTTATACGTAAAGAAAAAGACTTGGGTACATATTTATCAAATGTAAAATGTGAAACATGTTCAGATCCTGATTCCTGGGTGTTTTGGAGGGGCTGGAGAGATGGCTCAGTAGTCAAGAGCACTGGTTCTTGCAGAGGACCAGGGTTTGGTTCCCAGCACCCACATGATGGTAGCTAACAAGAGTTTGTAACTCTAGTTCCAGGGGATCTAATGCAGTCTTCTGGCCTCTTAAGGCACCAGGCACACACATACATGCAGGCAAACACTCATACACATAAAAAACAAAGGTGTTTTAGAAATTACTGGGAGAACTGAACATAGATAATTAAATGCTTTTAAATTTTTAGAAATATTTTGAGTTGCAATATCACGGTTAGTTACCATAGAAGTTTTTGTAGAGATACATAGTGAAATACATACAAATAAAATGATAGTTTATAAGAAGCTTATTAGAAAATGAAGTATAAAGAGAGATGGTTTGTGAGAGAAATAGGTAAACTAAGAAAGATAAAGTGTCACCTAGACATTGTGGCATGTGCCTGTAATCCTAGCACTTGGGCTATGGAGACAGAAGGATTAAGATTTAAAGACCAACCTTAGTTCCTTAGCTACATCCTGGGTTTGAGGCTATAAGAGTCCTTGTCTCATGCCCCAATACCAAAGCTGTAAATAGGTAAAGTTGGGTATCAGACACAAGGATTAATATTCTATTTTAATTCTATTGTATGTTTGAAGTTTCCACAAAAATACTATGGGGAGGCTTGAATCTTCACTCCTCAATATATGAAATAACTAGGTAGAAGAAAACATTTTTGGGGAGATGTGTCCTAGTGATTCAACTCAGACTTTCAACATGATAAGCATATGCTCTAGTACTGGGTTATATTCCTAGGCTCTAAGAGAGCATGGTCTTACTGTAATGATTTCTTGCTGAAACAGAACAGATTTAGAGGTGCATATATTTTAAGTGCTGGGTGAATGAAGAAGAGTCAGGAAAAGAAGATAGAAAGAAAACTGGTTTTGAGAGGTGTTGAAAAGTCAAGGAGAAACAGTTTCTAGATGGAAGGAGTGTCAGCTATGTTAAATACTGAAGATGACCAGAAGGAAAGAATTAAATGATTCACTAGACACAGCAACTGAGGTCATCTTTTAACTTCATCAAGATCTGTTTCAGTGGGGTGAAATATTGACAGCTTACCCAAAAATATTTTGAAATCTGGCTATGAAGGGGAGTGGGGGATAAAGATGGTTATCATTCCTCACTCCTAAGGCGAAACTAAGGACTATGGCTTGTGTTTTATACTGAGGATACACTGTCATTTGAGAATGGATGAGGGTATTGGCAAAATTTTGAGCAATAACTGACTCTCAGAACAATGACCTTCACTACAACAGGGAGAGATGAGAACAAATCACAGGTACACCCCACCAAAGCAGATAATTCATTTTACTGGTCCTGGTCAGTTTGTTTGTTTGTTTGTTTATTTATTTATTTATTTGAGATGGGGTCTCCCTGCAGCCCCAGCTGGGCTGGAACTCACTATGTAGTCAGGTATGTAGACAGGGCTGGCCTTGTACTCAGAGATTGGCTTGGCTCTGCCTTCCAAGTGCTGGGATTAAAGGCTTGTACCACCATGACCAGCTGGTCAGTTTACTTGTTTACTGAGATTTTGAATTACTTCTCCAAAGTAAATTATATTTTTTGATTGCTTTATTTATTATTATTATTATTATTATTATTATTATTATTATTATTATTAGTCTTTTTGAGACAGGGTCTCCCTGTAGCCTCAGCTGGCCTGAACTCACTATGTAGACCAGGCTGGCCTTGAACTCACAGAGATCCACCTACTTCTGCCTCCCAAATTCTGGAACTAAAGGTATGAGCCATCACGCCTGGCTTATTTATTTTTATTTTATGGTATAAGGGTATTGCCTGCATATAAGTGCACCCATATCATGCAATGCCCACTGAGGCCAGAAGAAGGCATCAAATCCACTGTAAAGAGAAGTTGTTAGCTGCCAAGTGGGTGCTGGGAATGGAATTCCATTCTCTGCAAGAGCAGCCAATACTCTTAACCTTAACCTCTGAGCCATTTTCCCAGCCCCTTTGTTTTGTTTTTTGAGATGCTATGTAGACCAGGCTGGCCTCAGACTCACAGAGAGCTACCTGCCTCTGCTTCCTGAGTGCTGGGATTAAAGGTGTGAGCCTCCACATCTGACCCATATATATATTAAACACGTAACACAAAGGTCTATTTCTTTTAGTGGTTATGTTGGTTAAAAAGCCACTACTGGCCGGCCGTGGTGGTGCCTGCCTTTAACCCCAGCACTTGGGAGGCAGAGGCAGGCGGATCTTTGTGAGTTTGAGGCCAGCCTGGTCTACATAGTGAGTTCCAGGACAGCTGGGGCTACAGGGACACCTTGTCTCAAAAAAGAGAAAAAAAAAAAAAGCCACTACTGTGGTGCTGGGGTCTAATTTAGGGTCTTATGCATGCTAGCCAACTGATGTACACCTGAGCTCTAACCCAAGCCACAGTTTTTTTCTTTCCTTTCCCTCTTCCTCCTTCCTCTCCCCTTCTTCATGTTTTGTTGTCAAGATAGGGTTTCACTATGTAGCACAGGCTGGCCTGGAACTCATAATCCTACTGCCTCAGCTTGCCAAGTGCTGGGATTATAGGCATGTGCCACCACCTGGCAAGCCCATAATTTTGTATGTGTGTACTGTGTATGAATGTGTGCACATGCATTTGGAGGCAGGTGTTCCCTGTCAGATGTCTTCCTTTATGGCTCTCAACCTTTAAAAATGTATTATCAGTTTGTGAGTGTATGTGCATGTGTGGAGGTCAGAGGCCAACTTTTTGGAGTCAGTCCTCTTCTACCTTTATGTGGGTTCCAGGGATGGAACTCAGATCATCAGGCTTTCTAGGTAACCATTTTTACCCTCTGAGCCACCATGCCCGTCCTCCAGCTTATTTTTTTGAGACAAGGTCTCTCATTGATCCTGGTACGTGCCCTATTTGGCTAGGCTGACTGCTATTGAGTTCCTGGCATATTCCTATGTCCACCTCCCCAGTGCTGTGACTACAGGGGCACCAGGCTGGCCTCAATCGCACAGAGACCCGCCTGTTTCTGCCTCCCAATTGCGACCCACTTGTTTCCTTGTTTTTGAGAGTCTGGTCCCTAGCCCAGACAGGCCTCAAACTGTGTCACCAAGATGACCTTGACTTAGACCTCCTGATCCTCCAGCCTCCACACCAAGTGCTAGAACTGTTACAGCCATGGGCCACCCCACAGAAATTATTTATTTATTTATTTATTTAATTTATTTATTTGAGACAGGGTATACCTGTAGCCCTAGCTGACCAGGAACTATGTAGACCAGGCTGGCCTTGAACTCACAGAGATCTACCTGCCTCTGCCTCCCCAGTGCTGGGATTAAAGGCATGCGCCACCACACCCGGCTTTATTTTTATTTATATAATTTTTTTGACAGAATGTTAGTATGTAGCCCAAGCTGACCTCCAACTCAGTTTTTCTGCCTCAGCTTCTCGTGTGCTGGGATTACAAAATACAAGCCTGCATCACCATTACGGGCTCATGTTTTGGTTCCTGAGTAAGAACTAGTGGAGGGGTTTAAAAAATAAATCCTTTCTCAGCTACGGTTAACATTAAGTGTAAAAAGAAAAATTCTACCTATTCCCTGCGTGGGAGCCTTAGGATCCTTTAGTTTGCTGCGTTTATAACGAAAAACATCTCATCACTCAACATAAGGCCACAAAAAGTTTTGAAATTCCATTCCTTCCATCCTAACAGGACGGTTTACATCCAAATCTAACAGCTCTTCCCACACTTACTTTCAACTCAGAATCGCACAACCTTAATTGTATAGCGATGCTGCTGCCGAAGCTTATCTCTGAATTCCACCGAGGAATCCAACTAAGGTGTGTGAGAATGAGCTGTTCTGCACTCCAAAGTTTCACCTTGGCAGGATTAGTGGGAGGCTGACGCTCTGGGGGTGGGAAGAGGGAAGGAAGACTGCGGAGCAGCAGTCTCCCTCAGATTTCCGGAGTGAGCCCACGGCACCTGACGCCCGCGTGGCATCGGAGCCAGCGAGCCGAAGGAGGTTGGGAGTGGACCGAGGACAGCACTCCCGGTTACCCGGACAACTCCGCCCAGCGTAAGTATTGCCGCGCTCCCGGGAGGACGCGCGCGCGCGCGCGCACGCACTCGTGTCTCGCGCAGAGTCGGGCCTGTCAGGCTGGAACTCTCGCGAGATCGGAGCCTGGGATGTCTGTCGGGAGGAGGGGAGTGGTGTTGGGGAAGGGGGGGCAAGCTGGGCAGCGGCCGGGCTCTGTGGCTTCAGGGCTTGGAGGGAGAGAGGGAGGGCGGCCGTGAGAGTGAATCGGTGCCGCCGCCCGCCTGCGGAGAGGAGGGGGCCCGCCCGACCGGTGCCATTTGCGGGCCGAGAGCGCCGAGCAGCCGCGAACCTTCGAGGCCGCGCGGCCCCTGGGGACCCCGCCCCGCCGCCCGGCCCGCGGCCTGTCTTCCCTTTGTGAGCGCCCCCTTCCCCGGGGTGGTGGTGGTGGCGGACGGGTGCGCGTGGGCCGGCCCGCCGAGGGGCTCGGCGGGGGACCGAGGGGGCCTCGGCTGTGTAAGGCCCGGAGGCGGCCGAGGCCCGGGCCGGTTTCCCCCGAGGCGGCGGCGGCTCCCGGCACTTCCCCGCGCCATCTTAGCTGAGCCGGAGGGTTGAGGGCGCCTCCTCGACCCCGGCCGTCCCCTCGCCCCCCCCCCCGTTGGCCCCTTGTCGCAGAGCTAGGGCTAGGCGGCTGGCAGGGGCTGGGGGGGGGGCGGCGGTCTGTCGCCGGGCCCCCTCCTCCTCACTTGTCGCTCTCCAGCGTCGCGGCCACCGGAGCGCTCCGGGGGACTGCGCCTGCCTACTCCGCCCCAGACCTGCCGGCGAAAGGGTAAGGGCACCTCAGCTTTGGGAAAGGGAGACACGGAGGGGGGCGGGGAAACTCGGCCCACTCAGCCCTCTGGGTGGAAGAAGGGATCTGGGGGTGGGTTGGGGGGGCAGGGAGACGAGGAGGGTTTCTGATCCTGTGGGTGGGGTGAAGGAGCTGCTGAGCCGGGCGCCCTCCTGTTTTGAGGGGCAAGAGCAGTCACATTCCTTTTTCCCGAGGGTCACCGGAAGGGGTGGTGGAAGGGGATGTTTCTAGGAAGGTGTGGCCCTCGTAGGGAAATTGAGTTGACTTGTACCCCGATTTAAAGGCGCGAGGTCCGTTTCCTTGTAGTCTGGTGCTCCTGCTCCTTCTCCTTTGTAGTGTCTGTATTCTTGGGAATGGAGACCGCTCTGGGTAGCCAGCTGCATGGATCCACCTCCTCCCCCCGAAGATCTCTGCCTTTCTTCGGTTCGGGGTGATGGAAGCGCTTCTCTCCCCTTCCCCCTTTCTCTATCTGGTCTACTGCAGTGCTGCAGAAGTCCCAGGCAGTTTCTTCATACACAGACCTATGTATACACTGAAGCGGGGAGGGAGAGGAGAGGGAAGTAATGGCGCTTCCCTTCCAGAGCTTAGCCTTTTCCTTTGGTTTGAAATCGATTACAGGACGGTTTGTGTTTGTACTCTCGCCGTGAGATCTGTCGGTGGGAAGTATGTCTGCTTTTATTATTGTTGGGGAACATGGCCTCTCTAGGGGACCCCTCGTATGTTACAACAGTTTTGGTGTCTCTCTTGTTGTTTTGAGAAAGATGTCCAGATTGGCTTTTTTTTTTTTGGCTAGTTTTTCTTACGGATTGATAAAATAATTTTGCATCCCTTTCATTCCTTCCCCCTTTTTCTTTGGCCTTTGTCATTTTTGTAGAATTGTTAGAGATGATTACATTCTGATTGTCCGGTGGACATTTGCCCTGGACTGCCAATTTTTAAGGTTAATACCATTCTGTATGACATTAACAGCGAATTTTTCTTAAAATGTCCAGACTACAAACCTTTCTGTAGCAAATGTTGTTTTTGAAGGAAATAGAAGTCAGAAAACATTAATGTACTTAATAATGCTATGGTCAATATCGTGTATTTTTCACTTTTGCTTCATGTCATACTTGTTTAAAAAAATCATCTTGTCTGGTTTGATGTAGTACTTGTTGGTTTTTTTCTTAGTAGACAGAAATAAAAATAACAATTTTGGCATTCTGGAATTGTGTTGGCAAGTGCCTTTTGAGAGAAAAAAAAATTAACCTTCAAATCTTTAAGGAGTCTTGATGTACATTGTACTTTTCTTTCTTCCTTAATAGAGTCTTCATGTGTAATTCTTCCCTCCCTCCCTGCCTTCCTCCCTTCCTTTTTTTTTTTTTTTTTTTTTTTTTTTTTTTTGAGACACTGTCTCACTTTGTATTCTGGGCAACCCTCCTGCCTCAGCTTCTCAAGTGGGAGTACAGCTATGAGCCACCATGCCCGGCTCCCATTTTTTTTTTCTCTTATCTGTTTAGATTTACTGGTGAAATGATTTGAAAATGTTCTATGTGTGAATATTAGCAGTGATAAAGATAACTAAAATATGTTAATTTTGAGTTGTCTTGATATTTTATTAACAAGCCGTATTTGGTGTCAAAGCTTTACTTAAAGAGTTATTTTAAATTATGCTGTCATTAAATGTACCTTAGTACTTTTGTGGTATGTTGCATTTTAAAACATGCTTGAATAGAAGGATTTAATGATTTAGTAGTAGTACTAGGCACTGATTTTAAGTACTTTCATCCTTTTTTGTTTGTTTTGAGACTAGGTCTCATGTAGCCTAAGCTCTTATAACTATGTAGCTGAGGATAACCTTAAATTCCTGATCCTTCTGCCTATCTCCCAAGTGCTAGAATTACAGGTGTATACCATCACACCCAGTTTAAATTCTTTTATCTTATTTCATGACTTTTTTTTTTTTTTGGTCTTTGAGACAGGGTCTCCCTGCAGCCCCAGCTGGCCTGGAACTCACTGTGTAGACCAGGCTGGCCTTGAACTCAGAGAGATCTGCCTGCCTCTGCCTCCCAAGTGCTGGGACTACATGCATGTGCCTATTTCATGACTTTTAATGCAGTTGCATTATGTTTTTCTTCATAAAATGAAACTTTCTGCCTTATTTATCCTCTTTTGTTGTTCATCTCAACTCATTTAATGTAAAGAGCACTGTTTGTTTCAATCTTTTTTTCCCTTTGGAAACAAGGTTTCATGTAACCCACGTTGTCCTCAAATGCTGTGTAGCTGAGGCTAACCCTGAATGGAACCTCCTGTCTCTGCTTCACAAATACTGGGATTATGTACCTGTGCCACAATTCTTATTATGCAACCTGGCTGGCCTTGAACTCTGGGCAGTCCTCCTGCCTCAGTCTCCTGAGTATTGAGCCACCATACCTATCTTCATTTGAGCCTTTACTTCATGACACAAAGTATATGTTGTATTGCTTGCAGAATGTATAGTTTTCTCCTCATACAGGGGATATTGTGCCATAAAGCCTACTCCTCTGTATTATGGTTTGTTTTGATAGTAGATTCATATATATAAGCATGTATACATCCAAGCACACTGCTCACTAAAGTGACTATTTTTATCTTGGAAAGATGCAAGAGGAGGAAGGCCACAAAACCACGATATACACAAGGTGTAGGTTAACTGCTCTTTTTACTGTAGCATACTAAAACTTAAGACATGTAGTTTAGGACAACTAAAAATCTATTTCTTTAACTGGTGGGAGCACTTCTCTAAAAGTGGTAAAAATGTGTTGGTGATTAATTAAATAAACTCATTATTAAGGAGAAGCTGTCTGAGGGTTATTTCAGATGACTTCTGATGCCTCTGTCAGAGAATCCCGAGAGCTGTCAGGCTGGGCTGATTCCAGATCAGTATGGTTCTTCTTGTGCATTTTTCTACAGAATGGAGTGCACATCACTTCCTGTTCTTTCACAACTGGCTCTTTCTCTGGATTCCCTCTAAATGACTTAATTTTTGGCATTCTGATAACTGATTTGTTAATACAGTTATAATTCTCATGTTTTATACATGAGGGAATTTCTAAGAATCAGCTGGTTTAGAGGTCTTAAGTAGTGTGAGTACTTTTTATTGTTTTGTTTTTCTTTTTTTCAGATAGGGTCTTGAAACTCAGTATGTAGACCAAGCTACCTTGAACTTGCCACATTCAGCCTTTGCCTCTTGAGAACTGGGATTATAGGCATGCTCTACCATGCCTAGGGCTTAAGAATATCTTTGTGGGTCTGGAGAGATGGCTCAGTGGTTAAGAGCACTGACTGCTCTTGCAGAGGACCTGAGTTCGATCCCCAGCATCCACATGGCAGCTACAAACGGTCCTTAACTCCAGTTCCAGGGGAATCCGACGCCCTCTTCCTACCTCCGTGGCATTAAATGATATGGATGCGCTCACATACATGCAGGCAGTACACTCATACACATAAAATAAATAAATAAAAT